CAGGGCAAAGGGCACACCTTGCTCTGCCTATGCCACCTCTCCCAGGAACTGGAAAAGCCCTGTCCGGCGAGGGGGCAGAAGGACTCAGCGCCCCCGGACCCCCAAATGCTGCATGAACACATTTTGAGGGGAGCCTGTGCCCCTAGGTGGGGGTCAGGCCACCCCAGCCCCTCTCCTTTTCCTGGACTCTGGCCGTGCGCGGCAGCCCAGGTGTTTGCTCAGTTGCTGACCCAAAAGTGCTTCATTTTTCCTGCCCGCCCCGCACCTGGGGCAGGCCAGTCGTGTTAAGTTGCGCTTCTTTGCTGTGGTGTGGGTGGGGGCAGGAGGAAGAGTGAACACCTCGCTGGTTCCGCCGCCCTGAGGGTGCTCACCCACAGGTTTCAAGTCTGGGTTCTGGTGTCCACTCACCCACCCCACCCCCCAAAATCAGACAAACACTACTTTGTCTGACCTGCTGTGGCCTCTGAGACATGTTCTATTTTTAACCCCTTCTTGGAATTGGCTCTCTTCTTCAAAGGACCAGGTCCTGTTTCTCTTTCTCCCCGACTCCACCCCAGCTCCCTGTGAAGAGAGAGTTAATATATTTGTTTTATTTATTTTCTTTTTGTGTTGGGATGGGTTCGTGTCCAGTCCGGGGGGTCTGATGTGGCCATCACAGGCTGGGTGTTCCCAGCAGCCCTTCCCCTTGCCCCCTTCCCCATCTCCCCACCTCTCCTCCCCTCTCCTCAGTTTTGCTGACTGCTTTTCATCTGAGTCACCATTTATTCCAAGCATGTATTTCAGACTTGTCACTGACTTTCCTTCTGGAGCAGGTCGCTAGAAAGAGGCTGTGGGCAGGAAAGAGAGGCTCCTGTTTCTCATTTGTGAGGCCGGGCTCTGGCTTTTCTGCCTTGGATTCTCCCCCCTGCCATCTCCCCTCAGCAATTCCTGCAAAGGGTTAAAAATTTAACTGGTTTTTACTACTGATGACTTGACTTAAAAAAATACAAAGATGCTGGATGCTAACTTGATACTAACCATCCGATTGTACAGTTTGGTTGTTGCTGTAAATATGGTAGCGTTTTGTTGTTTTTTCATGCCCCATACTACTGAATAAACTAGTTCTGTGCGGGTACAGCACTGTGACTGTCTGCTTCTGTGTGGCACTCTCTCCTCCCACAGGGAGGAAGTCCTGGTCTCTGGAAGGCAAAAGAGCTGGCAGGGCCCAGAAGGCCCCACTAGGTCAGGGGGCCTCTAACACCACTGGCTGATAAGCCTGTCCCTTGACCTATGTCCACGACATCGCTCCCAAATGGCAGATCATGAACAGAACACAGAGCCCATGGCCCGGCATTTCCAAGGAAGACATGGGTGGGCTGGAAAGCGTCCTTTTCACCAGGACAGAAGGGACTTCCACAGTGGGAGAGGCAGCACAGGGCAGGCAGGCTTCCAGCTCCGCCCCTCAGGGCTGAGCTCTAGACAGGGATGAGTTTTCTGGGGCAGAATTCAAGAGGCAGGGAGGGCTGAGTTGAGAGGCTGGTGGGAATTGAATGGTGCCAAGGGACTCTGCCTCCTAACTACACTGCTCGGTTCTTTGTTGTTTTTCCCATTGGAAAATGAAGCAGCTACTCATAATGAAGCCAAGTGTGTGCTTTGCAACTTAACTTCTTGTCCTAAGTTTTGTTTTTGTATATATATGATATATATTTATAAGTATATATGCTTTTTAAATTTAATAGAGACAGGGGTCTCACTATGTTGATCAGGTTGGTCTTGAATTCCTAGGCTCAAGTGATTCTCCCACCTTGGCTTCCCAAAGTGCGGGAGTCACAGATGTGAGCCACCACATCCGGCCTAGTTCCAAGTTTTGTGTTTGCCAAAGTTCCATTAATAAACTAGAAAGACAGCCAGGCACGGTGGCTCACACCTGTAATCCCAGCATTTGAGAGGCTGAGGAGGGCAGATCACCTGAGCTCAGGAGTTTGAGACCTGCCTGGCCAACATGGTGAGACTCCGTCTCTACTAAAAATACAAAAAAAAATAGCCGAATATGGTGGCTTATGCCTGTAGTCCCAGCTACTCCGGAGGCTGAGACAGGAGAATTGCTTGAACCCGGGAGGTAGAGGTTGCAGTAAGCCAAGATCGAGCCACTGCACTCCAGCCTGGGTGACAGAGCGAGACTCCATCTCAGAAAAAAAAAAAAAAAAAAAAA